GTGAGCTCCTCCATTGTCTCTTCCCACAAGCATAGTCCATTTGATTTCTGTGTGCTCCATTTGCACAAGCCCATGTGTACAGTTACCCTTTTGTGTTGTTGATAAATAGTGTTTGCTACGAACAAGTTGTTCGTTTTGCAAAATTCTATCATGTGATTTCCAGCTTTGTTTCTATCAGCAAGTCTATGTTTTCCAGGGACTGTACCTTCTTCTTTGTCTCCAAATCTTTCATTCCAATCAACAATAATTATCAATGCATCTTGATTACATGTTTGATCCATCTCTGACTGAAGTCATTGGTAGAATTCAACTACTTCATCACTAGCTTTGGGGGCATCAATTTGAATCATAGTTGTGTTGATCCAATTTCCTCAAAGGTGGACAGATATAATCCTATCACAGGTAGCATTGTAGTTCAAGATAAATGTCCTTTTGGGCAATGAATGCCATGCCTTCCTCTTGATTATGTTATTCCTGGCATAGTAAATCATAAGATGTTCTGACTCAAAATGACCAATACCAATCCATTTCCGCTCACTAATACCTAAGATATCAATCTTTATGTGTTCCCTCTCATTTCTGACCACTTCCAATTTTCCTAAATTCATACCTCACGCACTCCAAGTTCCAATCATTAGCAGATTTTTGCAACTGTTTCTCCTTTCGTTGAGTCATGCCCCAGCAGCCAATGTAAATCCCAAAATTCTCCACTCCCACAAGCTGCACCTCACTTACATTGCAAAGGTTGCTGGGAAATTAGCTCCTCCTCAGTCACATTTTGAGTGCCCTCCCACCTGAGGGGCGCAGCATCTGGCAATGTTCTGCTCCCACTCATTAAGCCTTCAATAGCTGACCATGTTTTGAAGCTATGAATAAGGTTTTCAGCGGCTCCTCCTTGCATAGAGGGGAACCCAGTCCTCTTGTTGTCTGTTCTCAGTCTGGAAGCTCTGTTCACTGGCATTTAAATACCAATGACATAGGTTCCAGCCTCACAGCAACACATGAGTCACCACAGTATGACAAACTGACAGACAAGTGGTGGCTTTTCTTAATACAAAGAGGTACTCTTCCTAGAGATTTTTTGAAAATCTCTGGAAAAGAATGCAAATTATATTATTGCTGACTAGAAGCTATTGTCATTTATTTTTAAATAGAAGTATTTGAATCTCAACTTTCATTGTGCTGAAGATCATGACAAAACAAATGTGGTAAACAATAAACTCTTAGGTGGGATCAAATTCATAAAGAATCATCTTATGAAACCTAGATAACTTACCTATTTTTTCCACTTTTCTGCCTTTCAAACATATTTTATTTCGTTATTACCAAGGAGTAGTTACTTAATATTTGTTTTAAAAGGTGGTATTGATGTATAATTTATACATATCGCCTCAGAAACTTCTTTCCACCTCTTAGTCAATTTCCACGCACTCCTAGCCTGGGCTACAGGAAACCCCTGATCTGCTTTCTATCATTAAAGATGACGTTTTTCTTTCCTAGGAATGAAATGGAATAAAACATAGAAATGGAATAAAACAGGATACATATTTTTGTTTATTTTTATATTTTGATTTCTTTTACTCGGCATACATTTTTAGATATATTCCTATTGTCTTTTACATTAACAGTTCATTCCTTTATATCTAGGAGTTAATTATTGAACTTTTTT